CCTACTTTTGTAAAGGAAGAAACTATTACAGAAGCCACTATCCTAATCTAGGACTAATACAGAAATTTCCGGTTTTGCAAAATGTTGAGATTCTTGAAAACAAGGAGGCTCAAAAACCTCACTGAACATCAGTTGGTGATAACATGTCACACTACTAAGAATATTACCTTTAAACCCTTAATTGTTTGTCAGTTAAAGATCAAAATTGTTTGTTTTTAATTAACAATATCAACAGAAGAACATCTCACAGTTCCGTAGGAAGTGACTGCCAAACAGCAATTATGTTGATATGTACTCAAATTCTCCTGACTGATTCTATAAGTAATGCAGGAAGTATATTAATAAGAAAACAACTGCTGATTGCTGTCTTTCTCCTCTTAAACCCCTTGTTCTTAAACCATTAACATGTACCTTGATTAAGAGTAGCTTTGCCTAAATATCAACTAGACTTAAAAATAGTGAAAAAAATCGAATTTCTTCAAACTCGCCCAGAATGAAGCTCTACGGGCACTAGTTACAAAAATATTCTTTTGTTAAAGTTTGATAAATCAAAAATTATTTTTATACGCAATTTTTCCTTTCGATGCCCCAAATCAGCCAAAATTGATCGCAAATGAGCAGCATATTCAGAGGCTTGTTAACTGATTGCATGTTGTATTTGTACTTCCTTTCTTGTATATTTGGAGCTAAGTAGATCACGATTTGATCAGCACTAAAATATATGATGAATTTTCTAAATGAGTGACCCAAGACAGTAAAGACAGCTTAACAAGAGGTCTTCATTTGGCCTATTTTCAAATGCTAAAAAGGCATTCTGGTACACGGCTTTTCCCAAAACGACTAGTTTGGTCTGAAAGAGCATTGTTTCTTCTTCGAATTAGTGAAATAAAATTTTTTGGTCGATAAAGTCATGAGTGCTGAGATAGCGAACTAAATGTGGCACTTTTTCCTGAGTACATGACCTTCATTATTTTGAAACATTTTCTGGTGATATCTCACCGAAACCATTATTTAAAGAAACTATTTCCATATATGAAATCTTACAGGGTCAAAGAGGGAGCTTAAGGGTGCATTTTGACACAATAAGTTTGTTTGCTGAGAATTGAAGTCAATGACCGTTAATGAATTTCAGTGAAATTTGCGAACCTGAAGAATGCTACCCGATACCTACCTGAATATTTATATTTGTAGAAGAGTCTTCCTTTTGGAGTAACCTTCAAAAGAAGCTGGATCCAGATTTGGAAACCTCTAAAAGAAGAAATGTTTAATGTTCCGTGACCTGCCCACTGCTTTAAATTTCATGCAAATGCCGACCACATGTTTGTCGCAAAACCAACTGAACTCCACTGACAGTTTCCATAGGCAACCCCAAATTAAATGATCCCCAAAAATGTAAAGTGAAATTGGCTGTCTTCATGAACAGTTAGAAGCCATCTAGAGTCAAATATTTTAGTTCTAATCAAATCGCAATCTATTTAGCTTTAAATACACAAGAAAGAAAGTACAAATACGACATGCAATCAGTTTGAAATGAAGATTTTTACTTTTCAGTTTACGAGCCTCCAAATATGCCATTCATTTTCAATCCATTTTGGCTGATTTGGGGCATCGAATAAAAAAAAAATTGCGTAAAAAATAGTTTTGGATTTATCAAACTTAAAACAATATTTTTGTAACGAGTGCCCATAGGGCTTCATTCTGGGCGAGTTTGAAGAAATTCAATTTTTTCACTCTTTTTAAATCTAGTTGATATTTAGGCGAAGCTGCTCTTAAATGTTCATAGGTCTGCACTTGAGTACTGCCAAGAAGCTGTTACAATTCTTGAGCAATTATCTGACAGAGTAGCTCAAGAAGAGGACAAGGAGAGCTTTGCTTCATCATTTGTTCAAGACAGACTTGCTGCAGCCTATATGTGGCTTGCCATGTTGGGACACAAAAGTGGAATGGAAGAGAAGGCAGCTGCTGCATCACCAGAGCTCAGTGAGAGTTTTGAAGCTGAAGAGGTGCACTGTTCATTTTTAAAATTCTTTGGAAACACAGT